CTGGAACCCTGTCACTTTCAGAAAAACCTGCAAACTCCTCGTTGGTGAGGTTGTCAGCTTCAACGTTTTCCTCCCGAGGTCTCCACCTCAGGTCTAAACTCAAGCGTGCCTTTGCTAAGGAGGAAGATAACTGCATGTTGATCAGCATTAGAGGCCATCTGGTTGTGGACCTCTTGGAGGTGAGCGCATCATTTGCAATATTGTCTGTGCCAGCCCTCAACGCAAGGGTAACAGTCTGCCGAGTCGTGCCTTCCTTAATCCATCCAAATGCTTGCAGCGCGCACAAAGAAGAAAGCAGTTCAGCAGAAGTGGATGCCCACTGAGAGCCCCCCCCCTCAGCTTTGAAGAGGTAGGGGACCTGAGTCCTATCAAGCTTCAGCGAAAACCACCTGCGTGTTTGCAATTCCCATCCACCAAGTACAACATGTTCATCTGTGCATCTTGCATCTGTCCTGAATTGTTCCCCGGAAAAATAAATTGGCCTCCTTGCAGAAACTCTGAATGTTTCACTTTCCATTTCCCCCAGAATATAAAGCAGGGTCAAGATGACAGTATCCGGAAGCTTCCCAACCAGCCCCGGCGTCGCAACAGCACTCCAAGCGAACAATGGTGCCAGATGCGGCTTGAGCCACGTCAACAATTGGGCCACAAAACCAAGGCGGCCAAGGAATTCACTGAACTCCCTGGCCTGAACCACAAACTTCTTCTCTATCAACGCCTTGATCCAATTGAAAAGCCACATCCCCCTCTTTTCAGTAATGCCAACTTCACATTTGTCATAACGCAAATGGAAACCAACGAAGTCAGATGAGAAGCCTCCCTTGAACTTATGATACCCAAAAGGTGTCCCAATCACCTCAAACGCCAGGAGCCAAACCCAGAGCATATCAAACTTCCATCGACCTGCAAATGCTCCATGTAAATCATCCACATAAACCAAATGCCAAAACACTGTTGTCTGCATCACATGTCCTACAAACCGCCCAATGGCTGCAAAAAGCTTCGACCACCAGTACGGAGCACTTGACACTCCAAAAGTCCCAGTCTTGTTGATCCAAACAGTTTCGGATAAAGAATCCGCACGACAGCAAATATAAGGCCAGTCAGCTTCTCTGATCTTCACCAAGCGATGGGCGGCCTTGATGTCTGCTGATACACAAAAGGCTGCTTCCCTAGACTCCACCGCCTCCCGCACTACGGCGGCCACCTCTGCTGGGCCCGGGCATTGTAGCTGGTCCCTGTAAACAATGGAGTGGTTGACCATAACTGAGTGGGTGGCATCGTGTAATGGACGTACTCCACCATCCGGCTTGACAATCGCCGCCATTGCTGCGACTCGCAGCTTATCACCATACTTGGCCTTGAGAACTGACATTCTTGAAGGCTCCATTCGGCCAAGTGCTTCTTCTTCTCTAAATTTCTCCTCCAGCTCCTTCGAAGAGATCTGCCCAGAAATGTAGTTGTCAGCAATTGGATTGAACTCAGTTCCATCCAACTTCCTATGCTTCAACTTCGGTGGAAAAATTTGCGGTGACCTGGGCAATGGGGAGTCCACTCCAACGCTAACGCCAGTAGCGTACGAGTCAGTATCACTCACCAAACACTGAACATCTGGATCACCAAAAACTTCCAGCCACTGCGCCAGCATCCGTAGAAAGAAAGGCTGGCCCTCATCTCTAACCAACGCATCTTCTGGATCCCTCAGCAACATGGCCACTTCCCCCCGCACTTTGTTCAGCACCTCTTCAGTAAAAGGGGAAGATTGAATTTTGCCAGTAACCAGACGAAAAGCATCCTTCCTCACATCTTGTATCGACTCCGTAACTGCTGACTGTAAACGCTTAAAGGTCTCGGTCGCCAACTTCTTCATTTCAACAGTGCGGTTATGCCCCCTGGAACGGGGATGCCATCTCGTGGGAGAGCACAACCCAAAACCATCTATGAGGTCGTGAGATTTGCCATCCCATTCCACTTTGATCGGTGGCCCGTGATTTCCACACCTTGCTACATCAAACTCTTCGGCATCGATTGGCAAATCAAGAGGGGTGGCTGCGTCCTGAACATCTCCAGTCAAATCAATCGTGGGAGGACCAGGAGTAGTCGACCCTTGTTGCACCGAACTTGAACTCCCGGCTGCTGCTGTTTGTTGAACAGAACTTGAACCACTCGAAATTGTTGATTGCTGTGGACCACTCGATGTTGCTGGGTGTTGTACTCCACTCATTGGCACACTTTGGGAACTTCCCTCACCAAAAAATTTGCAGGAACTTCCATTGCTAAAACCAGCCTGTGGAACTCGGGAACTTCCCTCACCAGAAATTTTGCCGGAGCTTTCCTTGCCAGAAGCAGTCTGTGTAACAAGGGAACTTCCCTCATTGACCTTTTGGTTCTTTGTCCCCCTCCCGCAGGATGCTCCAGCATGAAGGACCAAAAGTGAAAGGAATTCACATAAAGCAGGGGGATATGAAGCGCTTGGACTGGTGTTCCATTTGTTTGCAGTCTTACCCAAAAGTTTGTGCTTGTGTGTGTGGCCACAAGACTTCGGTAAAGGTCCTTTGTACAAGCCTTGTTTGTCAAAACGCGGTAAACCAAAATGGCATCTTGCGTCAGTGACTGCAAACGTACCCAGGAATCTTGTTGGTTTGGGAGTCAAAGCCCCAAAGTGATATTGTTGTATTGCAAAAGTGCAAGCGCCACATGAAGGAATGAGGTCAAGAACTTCTGACCATTGCCAGATGGATCCAGGCCGCTCATCTTTGACCAGTCCCAAGTCTTCCGGATGCTCGATGATAAATTTGCCACCTGCAGCATGACAGATGATACAGGATTGAATGCACCTGTCAACAAACATGTTGGCCTCTTCCACAACTGCTTTGTGATGCTGAGCTAGCCACGGAAAACCACGTGGCCAATTGATGTTCCTCAAGGGTCTTGGACCCGGCCAATCCTGAAAATGAAACCTTGCCCGTGAAAAGGTGTTGCACGGAGGGGAAACTATGAGCATCCAACCCCCCTCTTTGAGGGTGTTCCATATGTCTTCCCAAATGGACTGGTTTGTAAGGTCATGCTCTGGTGAAATCTCTATGTCAAACTCTTTGAGAGTCAGCTTGATACGGCCTGCATCGTGGGCCTGCTGTAAAAAGGAGGCCACATCCGATTGACGCCTCTTCCCAGCAAACAAGTACATCACTTTCACTTCGGGAGGCGATGCATGAGATGGGTGCGGCTGAGAGCTGGGGTCTTCGGTGCCACACCCCACTTGTCAAGTCGAACTTCGACTCTTCTCTCTATGTTGAATGGCTGGATGATCGCCATAGCACCCCTTGACTCTGCACTGATGTACACGATTGCAACTATTGTCACATGATCCAGAGTTGTATGCAAAACACAGGTCCCGACCATCGGGTGTCCTCCAAGCAAGCTGCAGGCCTGCAAGCCTCGAATCTTTTCCCTTTGACTTTCCAGTTTTTCCCTTTCCTTTCGAAGCCTGCTGTCCTGACTTCCCTCCAGAAAAGGAACCTTTGCTATTGAAACGAGGCCATTTGTTCTGTGGAACATCAGCTGTTGCAGCACGCAATGCAACAGGCGTCGTGAAAAATGCTTCTTTCAGGTCAGCATCCTTTGTAACTGCACGCAATGCATTGGCTAAGGTGTAGCCCTCATTGATCACCAGGCGCATGGCTTCTTTTCTCAGCTTGTGTTCAAACGCTAAAATGATCCCCCAATCAGGTTTGACCTTCTGTTGTGTTCCATCTGCAGCTGGAATCTGTATTCCCAACACTCTCTCTCCCAAAATGAAATCGACAAATTTGTTGAAATCCGATGCCTCCAAACCATGAAGCCAATTCTTCGCCCTGTACCGTGCTGACATGCACAACCAAGCAAACATTTCAACCCTCATGATCTTTCGATATTCCTCAGTGTTGCTGGGCATCCTGGCTTTGTTTTTGGTCCGAGTGACCCTCAAATGCCCTGAAGAATCCACTGTTGACTGAATATGCGAGCTTGCATTGTCTCGTTTACTGATTATTTCGTCTAAGGGTGAGGCGTCGTTGAGCTCCGTCTCCTCCGCTTTGAGTGCCAGATAGTCTGAGCTGGGCGTCTCAGACTCACCAAGACAACCATGGATCCTTTCAACAGCACGAATCATTGATTGCCTCTCATGAGACTGAAGAATCTTTGGCTGGCCTAAAACCTTTGCCTCGGCTCGTAATTCAATCTCTTTCGCAACAAATTCTTTTGCTGTTTCCCATGCCGCCACAATTGAAGCTACCTCTGCCCTGTTCTCAGGAGTATCTTGGGGAATTGCAAAGTCCTGCAAGCAAGCTGTACGAATCTGAGGCCTGTCGTCACCGATTGCATTGAACTTCCTAAGGGATCCATATCTCCTTGCAATTGCAGCCTGTCTGTGAACGGAAACGCCAGATTCACTCAGGATAAACTGCAAGTCTGCATCCATGTTTTGAGAAATGAATTCCCTATCAGCTTCATCTGGGTCCACGGCCATTGCGCCAAGGGACGGACGTACTGTCCAGGCACTATGTGAATTAACACCAACCAAAGTGCAATGCCCAATGAACAAGTTCCCAAACAAAATGATGAAAGAAAATGAAAACAGTGAAACGTTCAACAGAGGCACCCTTAGGTCTGAGCCATCTGTAATGAGCTTGACATCTGATGAAGTGATCTGAATCACCCACATGCCAAGTCATTGAACCGTGATCGACATCACGTCACCCTGAGGTCTAAAGCCAGAATTTCGGACATCACAAAAATTAACCATCTGTCCAGACTGTCTCAACAGTGCCTGCCCAAATATCTTAATGCACAAACTTGACTGAGGTCTTCACCAATCTCTGATCAAGAAAGATAAACAAAAACATGCAAACTCAACTCAAACTTTTCGACGCAATCAGCAGGTAACGAAAGTTGAAACAAACAAAGGTCTGAACCCATTGACGGCGAGCCTGACATTGCTCCTTTGGCAACACGTCGGCACCTTAGCCTGCGACGTCATCTGCACTTCCTGTGGACGACGATGATGCCGTCGAACTTGACTCAGGATTCACATCCTTCCCGTTCTCAGCTAACATCTTCCTTTTGCATGCTCTGCAGATTGAGTCAAAATCTTCATTGGTAACTTCGTCCAACATACGGACTTCAGTGCAGTTGGACGGCTTGACAAAACATCCAGTGAGGTGCAACCTGCGAAATGCTGTGCGCCTCGAAATGGTGACAAAGAACTTTGACTGCTCTTTCGACGTAGCCTCATCTCTGGTTTTCTGATCCAGGATGTTCGCAGCCAACGTAAGCTCATCCTCTTCGTTCTCACCAATTTCGAACCAATCATCTGGCAAAACCTCCAAAGTGGGGAATGTCCCCCCAAGACAAAATTTCCCAGAGAGGCTGGAGCACACCATGTGCTTCTTCCGAATCCTGTTGCGGTTGGCTCCAGAATCTTCTGCAGCCTTGCAAAGTCTGTCAATCGCCTCATCCTCAAAATATTCCTGATCAAAGCCTGTCACAATCGATCTGTTAACAGCCTTTTGTATGGTGAACACCACCTGACGCGATGTGCGGACATACTCCTCTGAAGCTACCATACCCATTGCCCAGCGGCCCAAATATGCCCTCTGGTCCTTGTGGAACCCGATGGCGGCCGCCACAGATGTCAGAAAGTTCCGTGGACTGTGTCCCGTAAAATGGGTTTCCAGTCCATCCGGTAGCAACAGCCCTCCGGTGTTTGCCACCCACATGTCACCCTGCTTCCTGGGCACAGGTAAATCGCTGAGCAGCTTGCTGATCAAAGAACTATCCTGATGGTGTCACAAACTTCCGCTTCGCTGAAGTCCAGTCTGCCGTGGGCTCCATCACAAGAAAATCCCTCCTGTAATTAAATGGCTCATCATCCCAAAGTCTGTAACCAATCCCAAGCCAATCCTCTCCAGTCAATGAAACAGTTCTGTAAACATGAACCGAAACCTCCTTCTGTATCTTGTCAGGGCCCGACGTCTTTGATTTGCCCAGCACCATGCGCAGCCCGTAATTGGACAATGTTGTCCTGTGAGGCAAAGTTGACTGCACGTCATCGCACCTCATGGACCCCCAAATCATCACAAGCACCACCCATGCCAATGCTCTTGAGAACAGGCGTTGGGAAACATCTGCAACAACCAATTCCAAAGAGAGCAACATTGCAATTGTAAACATCTCTGCAGGTTTGACCGGCGGGGAGTCAGCCGCCAGCTCCGCTGTCCACGCCTTGATGTGGGCCAGCCACAACTGTTCATCTGACAATCGCTCCCCTTCAGGAACTCTACCAAGCTGCTCAATCAGTGTCAGTGATGTATGGAAACTTTCAGGAATTGTCTTACCACAACCTTCGTCTACACGATGTTGAATGTAATCTATGATGTCTTTCAACTGGACAGGAAATTTGCGACCAAAGTGAAGTTCCAACCATACTGCAAATGGTCTCCATGACTTGTATCGATTCTTCAGCGTGTTGCACCTCCGAGTTCCGAACAGATGGACCCATCCCTGCTGAGGATCATCCAAGGTTCTGATCAATGCCACCACTGGCAAATCAGCATCAACAATCACTTGAGCAAGAAGTGATGTGTACTTCTTCCGTTCAACGTCTGCACGTTTTGCTCTAGATTCAGCTTCTAGCCTGTGAATCTTCTGTCGCTTCTTTGTATGTGCTTCAATCAAAGAAACCACATTGGTCTGAACCAACCGCTTGTAAACATCTTGAACTGTGTGAGGCCCCGACTGAAGTGGAAGAAACATCACATGGTCTACAACCTGACGCCTGGCACGCTTGCATGACCTGCCATTGGCATCCTTCCAAACCATCAGAGTTGCCACGATGTCCATGACTTCTTCAGCAACCATGTCAGGAAAAATTGCATGAATCAACTCTGCAGCACCCAAATCGACATCAAACGCAGCATCTAAATGCAAAGGTGATTTGAAATGCTTCTGAATGCAAATGAGATGGTCCTGGCCCAGACCTGGCCACTCCAATGCCATGGCATGCCCAAACTACCGTCCAACCCTGGTTGGATGCAGCGCGCCCCTACCTGTCCAAATTTCAGAGCCTGTGCTGCACGTAAAATATTGAGTGAAATTCCAGTTGAAGTCAAATCTGCAAAACGATTTGCGAAGAAGCCAGAGCTGAACAGTTTCACCAGTTCCAAAAACTTCAGTCACTTGTTGAAAACGACATGTGAAAAACCAAACAGCAGCGAAAACGTCACAACGTAAAAGACCAGCTGTAAAACTCTTCTCAAAAGCAACTGTACCAAAACGCATCGATCCATCCAACAGTTAATACCAAAAACAGCAACTGCAAGAGGAAAACCAAGTTCACCAGGTTGATCCAAGTTTGTGAACCCAATCGCTACACAAGCCACATCTCACGAACTTCGCCAGAAGGGCCACCAAGGCCAGGAGGAACCCACCCACCCACCCAACACATAGTACCGTATAGACTCACGGGCACGCCCTATGAAGCGTATCCAAAATAAGGCATTCAGCATGGTACGCTCTGAATAACCCTGGACAAAATTTGCCTGGTAGCGTATGGTTGCGGAGACGTACGCAGCCACCAAAGCCAGTGCCCGAATGCCTGAATCCGCAAGAAATGTAAGCTCCAAAATACGAACCACTTTACCAGACGGGTTCAACAGAATGCCACTGATGCTTTTCATCAGATGATTTTTTCAAGCCTATTAGTGGCCCCCTTGAGTCGGTTTTCCAGAGCAACTCTCTGGAAGGTTTCCTCGAGAACCTGGACATTCCACTGGGAAGAACCGCGCGGCCACATGCATTTGTAAACGGAAAAGCTGGAAGCCGTCGTTCAAAACGTAGTCCCACGGTAATATTGCCACATGCAATTGTAAACGAAAATGTCCAACTGTAAGGTTGCCACATGTAATTGTAAACGAAAACGCAGGAAACCGTAGTCCAAAACGTAGTCCACTGTAATTGTAACGGCCAATGAATTGTGAATGAAAATTCTGAAAGCCCTCGTTTTCTAAGCGTGGCACAGCTGTGAATTTTGACCTCCAGGGATCAGCCACCCAAAGTCACAGCATTGGGGGCGAGCGCCTTTCGAAGCAGAGCCGAAGGGAAAAATTTCCCTCCTATCATGAGGTAGCCCCACCCCTCATCGAGTGCCTTGGGCCCGCTCCAAGTTCTCCAACCTGGTGCGGAGACTGTTCACCTCGTCGGAGAGTTGTTGAATACGACGATCTTGTTGAGCTCGGTCTGTCTCACAACTGTCGAAAAATTCCCATGAGGAAATATGTCTGATGAAGAAAACTTTGTAATCCTTGGCATCGTCCTTGTCGGCGCTCTTCACATGGCAGGATTTCAAGCCGTCTTCGATGGCTTTGGCCAAATCTTCTGACCAGATTTGTATTGACATCTTCAAAGGAAGGTCACCCATCTTTGTGGTCATTGGGAGTGGCTTTCTCGATTGAAAGGAGTAGACTCGGATCTCGCTTGACCTCCTGTTAGAGATCCTGGTGAGGAACTGCGATAACTGAAGGCCGCCCTCGGCAACGACTCTGAAACCCGAGTGCCTGTGGGGTGCTGGTTCCGAATCTTCGCTGTCGACATCCAGGTTCTCTCTGGGCGTCAGCATGGTGAAATGACTTCCTCGAGATTGGTCCGGATATTCACAATGCCTAGAGCTGCGAGCCAACATTTTAATAGAAAAGAAACTGTGTGCTAATATAGCAATACACCACAACAGGGTCATTCTGAATTTCAGGTTATACCTGAGTTATGGTGTGACAGCTCGTGTCGTACGCAGTGTCAATCAGAAAGCGGTTGAATACACAGCCAGGCAAAAAAACATGGAACTTCTACCGGCAGAGACTAATCTCTTCATTCCATGGGGTTCCACCGAACCTAGTATCCTTGTAAGTTGCAAACCTACCTTTGCAAACATGGCTGTCAGTTCCTTTAGTGAGAAGTATATTTCCCCTCGCGGATTTAACCAAATGAAAACGATCGGGTCCGATGTCTAACATCCAAACTATCCAAACGGATGATTTGAACAGCACAAAAGTTCACAATCCGAAGCCCTCGAGGGTCCAAGATCCAAAATAAAAGGCGCTAGACAATGAATCCAATGGTTTCTTGAAATGCTTGGGATGCTTTCAGGATCCAAGATCCAAAGTAAAAGCGCCCGACACTGAACCCAATGGTTGCCTGAAATGCTTGAAATGCCTTCAGGCGTCCCGACTGACCCCCAAACAAATTGACGGTTGAAGGCAAACTTTCTCTGGACCACATGATTGTCCTGCTTTGAGGTTTGTACCTGCCTGAGTGATACACAGCGATCGTCACGGCCCGAAAGAATAGCATATGTGAAGGAAAGCTAAAAGTTGGCCAGTGAATTGTGAAACCTGGAAATTGTACCATGAATTGTTGGCTCATGGCTAAGCACAAACAAAAATTCCTGAGTCGACCCTGACTCGCCAGGTCTGTGGATACGCACAAGGACATTCAAAATGTCCACCTCCCATCGAGTTCGATGTCCGCCGACAGATGTGATGCGTCCAGAGCCGCGTCCTCTAGGAGGGTGATTTGTAAGGCCTGGCACACCAGGTGGACCTGCGATTTTTCGCCTTCCAGAATGATCATCTTGTTGAGCTTCTGCAGCTGGTCCAGTACATTCGATAGGAAAAGCTTGTGCTTCCGAATTGACCTTGCTTCTGTTCCTCGCTCAAACAAAAGTTTGTCCGTAGCCGCCAGGTAAACAACAGTGGTGGCCAAATCGGCATAACCTGGAAAAGCAAAAATTCGATGACCTTCGAGAATGACTGCTCCTCTACCGAATTCTTCGTTCGAGGTAACAGATGATATAGATTGTCGCATCCGAGGCCACGCCGGTTCATCTTCACTCCAAAATGAATCTGTGCAGTATACCCAAAGGGAAAAGTAAGGCCTCTGGCTTCGGGCAAATAGCCAGAAATTCTTGCTCGTAGTCTTTGTACGCGTCAAACCCAGGGTCTTGGCCAGGTGAACTGCTAGGCTGGATTTGCCAACATTGGGAGCACCAGATATTACGACGACCGACTCAGCAAGTTTGCCCAATAGCAAAGGGTACCAATCGGCGGACTTCACCTTGCCAGCAAGCTCTTCCACTGTCGTGACGTGGCTCTGCCAGTAGCAAAGGTCTCGTAAAATTCCCCGCAAATTCCTGTGGTCGATCGTGTCACATATGGACTCCTCTGGTGCGGAAAAAACATTGCCGCTGGCCTTTCCTTTGCCTTTGTGCCCAGGTGGCGTCAAAGCTGGAGGCTTACCCCAATACTTGCCGCTTGGATGAGTCGATAAAGGTGGCAGTTTCCCTGCAAACCTACGACTCATGGCAAACAAATGTCGCGGGTCCCAAGAAACCCCAAACTTATGTGGTTGCTGCAAAAACCAACATATCAATTCCTGACTGCATGATGGTCAGAAGTTGTGACTTGAAAAGAAAATGGGCTTCGAGTTCCTGACGGCATGATTGTCGGAGACGTCAGCCTGACTGAGAACTATACGGTTGTTGCCACTTCAGAACATCCAATTCCTGACTGCGTGATTGTCAGAAGATTGATTCTGAAAGAAAATCGAATGTCCACTTCCTGACTGCATGATTGCCGGAAACTTGAACCTGAATGAAAAAGAACACCAAATTCCCGACTGCATGCTTGCCCGGAACTTGGTTCTAGCATGGAACTGAAGTAGCATTCCGTGACTGGACATTCAAGAAAAGTTCAGGGGCTTACTGAATACCTCATGACAACTTAGTTTCATCCAGCATGCTTGGAATCACTGTGAGTCATGAGATGTTTGATATGTCAAACAGATAATAGGCCTCTGTTACCTGGCTTCCAACTCTCGACCTATACAATCGAGATTAGTGTCCCTAGACTCTGACACTAAATTTCAAAACAACTCGGCTTCACGACAAAACCGGACTCTTCCAACCGTCCACTCTGGTCAATGTATTGTCGTCCAACAGGATCACAGTGTGCTTTGACCGCGTCCTCCACGACCTCTAGGTTCAGTGCGACGAGGCCACTCTACGAAACCTGCTAGCCAAGGCTAGATAGTCGTTGGCTCGAGCTTCATCTTCTCCATGGAGCCCATCCGACAAGCTCTCGAGGTGGTCCCCCAGATATGTAAATAGACGAACCTGGTCTTGTCGATTCAGAAGCCTATCTTGATGGGAAACATCTATGAAGAATAGGAGTGCCTGCTGAAATAGGCGAGCTCTGGTAAAATCTTCCCTCACCAGGCAGTTGTACAACTCTATTTGTAGTTTGTTGCGTGCGATCGCCCAAAGAACGTCCTGAGGCAATGATGATCCGTCCCCCACATCATTGAATTCAATGAGAAATTGGGTGTCTGCAGTTGCTTCCTCCCTGGGGTAATCCAACCTTGCACCAACCCCTCCAACTACATTGAAGTCGCTTTGCAGGCCCAACAACCTGTCTTGGTGAAGAACTGTTGACATAAACCTGTCCGGGCCCATAGAGCGGTATGCCATCATGTTCCGTCTCTCCCGGGCAAAAACTTGCTGTCTCTGTTGGATTGATAAGCTCTGATAGGGATTGAAACCTCCAAGGCGTACCATTCCAACATGCTGCCATCCAACTTGCTCGGCTAGACGGTCGTGATAATCCCATCGAGGTCCTCCCTGAGCCTTCCAACGACGGAGAATAATTCCGGAAGCGCACCATTTAAGGAGCTCACTTCTCGTCTCAAACAATTGTTCTCACTGTTGATACGATCGAATGCTGACCTAAGTGTGGCATAATCAACTTCCTCCATGGCAGTTGCTGGTGGCAAAAATTCCACCACTTTCGAAGTACCCAAGTGGCAAATAAACTGATCGCCGAACAAAGAACTGGCACCAGCCATGACATCGAAGTGCTGTTGTTTGCAGATGAATCTCCTCCAGGTCCAAGGCACTCGTCTGTACTGCCGAGATAGTCTGGTCCCGAGTTTGCTCCATCTGCTAGCTGGAA